ACCCAATATAACCCAGACTGACCCAATATAACCCAGACTGACCCGCTACGACCCAGACTGACCCGCTACGACCCAGACTGACCCACTACAACCCAGACTGACCCGCTAAGACACAGACTGACCCGCTAAGACACAGACTGACCCACTACGACCCAGACTGACCCGCTAAGACACAGACAGACCCAATATAACCCAGACTGACCCGCTACCACCCAGACTGACCCGCTACAACCCAGACTGACCCGCTACAACCCAGACTGACCCGCTATGACAGACTGACCCGCTACGACCCAGACTGACCCAATATGACCCAGACTGAACCAATATGACCCAGACTGACCCGCTATGACCCAGACTGACCCGCTACGACCCAGACTGACCCGCTACGACCCAGACTGACCCAATATAACCCAGACTGACCTGCTACGACCCAGACTGACCCAATACGACACAGACTGACCCGCTACGACACAGACTGACCCGCTACGACCCAGACTGACCCGCTACAACCCAGACTGACCCGCTACGACACAGACTGACCCGCTAAGACACAGACCGACCAGCTAAGACACAGACTGACCCAATATAACCCAGACTGAACCAATATGACCCAGACTGACCCAATATGACCCAGACTGACCAGCTACGACCCAGACTGACCAGCTACGACCCAGACTGACCCGGTACAACCCAGACTGACCCGATATGACCCAGACTGACCCAATATGACCCAGACTGACCAACTACGACCCAGACTGATCCAATATGACCCAGACTGACCCAATATAACCCAGACTGAACCAATATGACCAAGACTGACCCAATATGACCCAGACTGACCCAATACGACCCAGACTGACCTAATATGACCCAGACTGACCTAATATGACCCAGACTGACCAGCTACGACCCAGACTGACCAGCTACGACCCAGACTGACGCGGTACAACCCAGACTGACCCGCTACGACCCAGACTGATCCAATATGACCCAGACTGACTCAATATAACCCAGACTGACCCAATATAACCCAGACTGAACCAATATAACCCAGACTGACCCAATATAACCCAGACTGAACCAATATGACCCAGACTGAACCAATATGACCCAGACTGACCAGCTACGACTCAGACTGACCCAATATGACCCAGACTGACCAGCTACGACCCAGACTGACCAGCTATGACCCAGACTGACCCGCTATGACCCAGACTGACCCGATATGACCCAGACTGATCCGGTAGGACCCAGACTGACCTGGTATTAGATTAGATTAACTTTATTGACCCAAAAGAAATTTGATTTGGGTAAAGAAAAGACTCCAACTGATAAAATGACCCCGGCTGACCCGGTACGACCCCGATCAACCCAATATGACCCCGCCTGAGCCAGTGCGACCCAGACTAACCCGGTATGACCCGACTGAACTGAACCTAACCAACTGGACCAGGTTCAACATGGCTAATCAGAAACTTCTTCAGGTTGGTTCCTCACCTGCTCCTCTGCCTTTACATTAAGCTCATCACAGCCCACCAACTCCAGAACCTCCTCAGCCCTCAGACCCAGAAATTCCTCAGATAAGGAGACGTCTACAAAGTTCTGGTGCAGGAAGGTGTTGGCCGTGTCATACAGTGTGGTGCACATCATGGTCTCTGCAAATTGCCGCACGCCCAGGCAGTTCTTAGGATGTAACCTGAAAACAGACGGACGCAGGTTCCACCATAGCAACCAGAACCTGGAGACCAGAACCAGAAGATGCTCACCTCTCCTGCAGGAAGGAGCAGCAGGCATCTTTGACGTTCTGCAGCTGCAGGAAGCTGGAACCAATCAGCAGAGCCTGAACATTCTGCTGATCAATGGCAACATGGCCGCTGTAGGCGAAGTTGATCAGAGCCTCCAGGGCGCTGAAACACATCAGCTATATGTCAGACTGGGGGCAGAATTGGAACAGACTGGGGGCAGAATCGGGGCAGACTGGGGGCAGAATGGGGACAGACTGGGGACAGACTGAGGACAGACTGGG